GCCGCGAGGGGGCCCCGCGCTGCCGCCGCCGCCAACGGCCGCGCCAACGGCTGTAACGGCGCCGSGCTGCCGCCCGTAAACAAGTGCCCCGCGCCGCTCCTCGGCCGGCCCCGCGCTGGGCCGCGCTCTGCGGAGCTCGGGGGACCAAACGCGTGAATTCCGTTGCTCCCGACGTGTCCCGTGCGCGGTGGCTGCAGGCGACGGCCTCCTGGCTGGGGTATCACGGAGGAGCCCCGGCCCTTGCCCCCGTGCAAGGGCCCTCTCCCGAAGCAGGAGGGAAGGGCCAACTGTGCATAACTCGAGCCATTGCTGGGGTGCTAAAACAGCCGCGGGGGTAACTTATTCCACTATCAGAAACGTCCAAAGTTGCGGAGTTTTGAGAGAATGAAGTAATTTGCCCAGCAGGTGGGATTAGCTCAGCGGCACAATGCTGCGGCGCCTGGAAAGGCTTTGGTTGCACGTGTTGGTGCCAATGATGAGCAAAGTTTTCGGAGAGAGAGGGTCTGGAAAGCGCGCCGAGCTTTGCAGGGGCAGTGCCAAGGTCTGGCTCCCGCCGCCCTCCTGTTGCAGATCCTCGCCCGCTCCGATGGGACGGAGCGGCTCTTGCATCGGCTGGAGATTTACTACCTGCCAGCAAAGCTGATGGGAAGACAAGTTGCTTGCAGGAGCCCCAAAACTCCCAGGTCAGGGGTGGTGTAGCTTCCTTTGGTGTATTTTAAAAAGCACTATAATTCACTGTCCTTCATCCCAGCCTGAAAGTCTGCTGGTAGCAAAGGCTCCCTGTTACTGGTGTAGGCCTGTTGCTAATGGAAATGCCAAGTAACAAATCATTATTCTGGTAAAACACTCTGAATACAGCATGCATGGATGGGTTGAATGGATTAGGACGAGCTCACTGACATACCTCAAAAAGTAATGGGCAATCAGATGTAGTCATCTGCTGCAAATCAGTATTAGACCTGGCTGTGCTCTGCCTTTTCGTACAGATTTGGAAAGTAAATGGTAAACTGATCAGGGACTGTGTTTTGTATAAACAAAACCAGTTCATACATTTAGGAAGGAACGAGACTATTGCTCATTTGCAGAAATCAGGTCGTATTAGACAAGTGTTCAAGCTATCAGGGTTCTGCTAACTAAGGGTGCCTCTGGGTATCCAACGCACTGAACTGCTCAGAAGTTTCCTAAAATCAGCCTTCGCAAAAATACCCGTTCTTTCAGCCTCAATCTGCTGGCATCAGTTTCCCAAAGCACCTGCAGGGGTCAGAGTACTGTAAAAACCCACCCCGACTTGGATGAGAGCAGTTTTTAAAAACATAGCGTTTCCTATGAGCTGGAAACAGTGCCTTTTGGTCCTATGTTTCACTGACACGGAGTACAAAGTGGGTTTTACCTTCTCTGTGTAGCGTTGCTGAGATTGTTTCTGGAATAAGGCATGGATTGATTCTAGAATAAGGCATGCAGACCCTGGGGCTGTATTTTTAAAACAATATTCACAAACCCAAAAGACTCAGGGATCAGAAAAATGATTTCAGTGCTAGCGAGGATGCTGTATGGTGCGTTACTTGAATTCAATAGCTTTATTAAAAGATGAAAAGTGATCTGATCACAGTGCATTATTGTGGAAAAATGAATTGGCCTGTGAAAAATACATAGGCATTTTTCCAGGATTTATGAACATAGTCAGCATGGAAATCCCAGACACGTTGGACTGCATGTGCAGTAGGTTCAAGGCTTCCCAGACGTGCCAGACCTACCAGTCATGTACTTTACGGATGTGCCGTATACTCAATGCACAAAGAATTCCTTGGACTTAGTGTGTCTGTTTGCATGTGTGGGAACAAAGAAGTATTAGAAGCAGTACAAAAACAGATGAAGAGGAAAGCTACGGACAGCTTAGATAAGAATGTTGTAAGGCCCTGAGAAAAAAAAAAAAGCAAACTTTTGAGCTGAGTGCCAAATGAAAGAGGCTTGAGCTTTGCGGATTACTTCCCTGCTTCACAGAGTATTTGCCCCAAAATAGCTTCATGTAAGGGAGCAAAGAAGAAACATTTGTGGAACAAGGACCAGGATTTAGGCTTCTTGTCTCCTCTTGCCTTGGCCTTTAGGTAAAGTCATGCACTTCTTTCTCATGCCTGTGCTTGTACCTCCCTTTTCTGGCCCAGTGCATCTAACTACTTTGTTGCACAGCAGCACAAGATTCAACAGGAAGGGTAGAAAATGCTGTTGCTCGGAACCTGGAGGAGTCCATAGGGATGATGAGGCATTCCTTAGACATCGCCAAATCTGATGACTTTACAAGGAAATCAGATTTCCCTGTAAGGATCCTTCAGTGCCTCTTGCTTCATCTTGATTTACTAAAGGGTCTGCTGACCCAAATAGCTTAGGAGTAGGCTCAGCTATTGAAGTAAATTCCAGTTCTAAAGTTCTCCTAGAAATAGGCTAGTAAATACTGCTAAGCACAACTGTGGGAAGAAGAAAAGCTTTCTGAGAAACCGTCTGTAGCAGCTGAAATTCCCTGGACATTTTTTTTCCTGGGATGTATTGAAGCCACATGTGGCTCAGCTGGATGAAGTGGCAGTAGCAACGTGTGTGTGTGGGTGGACTGTCACTGGGCTCTCCTGGACATCATCTAAGTTGGGGCTGTTGCAGAAACAGGCAGCGCTAGTGAGAAGGCTGCTGCCCCTGTCCTTAGCGGCTTGCTGCTCTACTCACTCTCCTCGTTACCAGAAAGTCTCCCTAAATAGGTGTTCAGAGTAAATCTGAGTAGTAAATTAAGTTGATACTCACAGCAATGACAACTGAAATACAGGATTTCATTTTATAACATAGGCTCAGTGAAGATAATATTTCTAATACTGAAAATACAAATGTTTTACTTCTTTTTCTAAATAAAATATCCAGATATCTTTAATTAAAAAGTTTGTTTTGACTGCACATATGTATGTTAGTAAGTCCTTATGTATCTGAATTTTGGGAATAATGCTAAATTTGTCCTGAGTTCTACACAAACTTTTTGTTTCCTTACTGTCTCTCATTGTATCTTTGTTGCACATTAATTTTCCTTTTTATTCTTTACTTGGTTAAGGTGATTTGTGTCTGCTTTGTAGCAGTCTCTTGACATAAACTGTTCCGCAAACAGCGTACACACATGAGCAATCTCTGCTAGCAGAAGAAAGGATCGAGATGAAACCTGCCGCTATTACAAGCAGTGCTGAATCAGCCTAAACACAAGAGAGTTAATTTCTCTTTTCTTCACAGAGATATCATGGGCTTGTTATATTAGTAGCTGCAAGGTGTTCCAAAACTTTTAAATGGAAAATTATATCAAATTGGGAAACTGAATATGAGAATTCATTCTAATAATAATAGAAAACTTTTTAAGAATTCTTTTGAACCAGCACGATTCATCATCATCATAATAATAATAATAATAAACCCATCAGATAGTCTCTGTTTACTGTGCAGTCCTCTAAACCTTTCCTCCCTGTTGACTTCACAGCCAGGGACAGCTCACTATTTGAATATTTAAGTGCAGAATAACTGACAGAGAGTTAGAATTATTTGCGATTTTTTCCTAATACATCTCAGATTGCTCATATGGAACATAAGAGTATAAGGGTCTGCTTTTTAATGGACTCAGCACAACTGCATATGGAATTTAAAAATGCAATTGCATAACTAAATTACTTTTACATGCTCTCTCACAAATTTAGAGGTCAGTTTATAAACTATAGATGAATAGGACTGGCCACTTACAGATGCAGTTGTTCACATCGTACCTAAATCACCGAAATCGCTGTGCATTCAAGCTAAGACTTCGTTCATGTCTAACCATTTTAGAATATATATCTTAAAAATTAGAAGGTTAAAGAACTAGACAGTCAATATCTATTTAAGACTATCTATCAGGAGCCTGTTGGGAGAAATAACTGCTATGTCTAGAAATGCAATTTTGTATTTTAAATTGATTGTCCTGAAGGTCATGTTGGTTTTAGCTTCTTTAGCGGGGAAAAGATTTTTTTTTTCCCCACAAATAAGCACAGTTA